GTTTGGGGTTTGGGGTTTGGGGTTTAGGGTTTTGTCTCCAAGGCTGTGGGGTTGCGTGAGGGAATGAAAGTCATTAGCTGTTGGAGTAGTAGGGTTTAGGGTTTAGGGTTTAGGGTTTAGGGTTAAGGGTTTGGCTCTTTATTTTTCTGTTTCGGGGTCTATTTGTCTGGCGTTTTGTCTCGTTTCTTGATTGCTATTTTACAAATTTATTTATTTATTTATTTATTTATCTATTTATTTATTTATTTATTTATTTATTTATTTATTTATTTATTTATTTATTTATTTATTTTTATTTATTTATTTATTAATTTATTTCTATTTATTATTTTATTTATTTATTTATTTTTCTGCTGCAGTTGATATAGAGCTGAACAGCCCGCGGGCCGTCGCAGTGTCTCCTGACGGCGTTTTATACATTGCAGATACCGGCAACAAAAGAGTAACCCTAAACCCTAAACCCTAAACCCTAAACCCTAAACCCTAAACCCTAAACCCTAAGCTCTAAGGTTTGAAAGCTGCAGCGGCGTTGAGTGCTTGGTTTTGCTGCCAGGGTTTAGGGTTTAGAACGCCAGCTGGAAGCGGTGCCTGTGCGGGGTGTAGGGTTTAGGGTTTAGGGTTTAGGGTTTAGGGTTTGTGTTTTTGCGTTTTAGCTGCTGCAAGTGGTGGAGGGAAAGGCGGAAGAAATAGAAATAAAAGAAAGTTCAAAAGCAACTTTAAAAGATGAAAATATAAATTACCAATTGGGAACCATTGAGGCTCTCGTCTACACAGAAATCCAGGGTGTAAGGGTTTAGGGTTTAGGGTTTAGGGTTTAGGGTTTAGGGTTTGGGGTTTGCGGTGCGAATTGCGAAATTCTTTTTGCGTTTTTCTTCTTTTTTCGCATATTTTTCGCGCGTTTTTTGTTTGATTTCTTTTTTGAAAGTTAATTCATTTAATTAATTTTAATTATTCAAATTAATTCATTATTTGTTTATTTATTTCTTTTTCTTTTTTTATCAATAAACCCTTTTTGCTTTTTCTCCCTTTTGCTGCAGCCCGCCCTCATTATGGCCGACTCAGAAAACCATGTGTCCGTCTATCCTGCTGCTGCTGCTGCTGCTGCTGCTGCTGCTGCTGCTGTTGCTGCTGCTAGGTTGCTGCAGCTAATGCTGCTGCTGGGACTTTCCTATGTTGGAGCTGCCTCGTTGCTGCTGCTACCTCTCCGCTGCTGCTGCCTGGCTGCTGCTGCTGCTACTGCCTCCCTGCCGCTGCTGCTGCTGCTGCTGCTGCTACTGCCTCCCCGCCGCTGCTGCTGCTGCTGCCGCTGCTGCTGCTGCTGCTGCTGCAGCAGAGCTAGGTGCTGCGGGTTTTGGCGATTAGGGTTTGGAGTTTGGACTTGGAAACTCTGGAAATGGAACAACTTTTGGGAAATGGCAAAAAGGGTTTTAGCGGAGACGGGCGGATAATGGCAGCAGCAGAGTCAGCTGTCGATACACCCTACGGGGTGGCCGTGAACGAGCAGGCGAGTGTTTTGCTGCGAAGTCCCGGAAAAGGCTTTTTCGGGGGTTTTTCGGGGGTTTAGAGGTCCTTAAAACCGCAATTAAAACCCTAAATCAGAGGTTATTGAGTGCTGCATTCAGTGGTTTGAAAAAGCCGCGAAAAAGCCGCGGAAAAAGCGGAAAACGCGGAGTTGTGGGGTGTGGGGCGTGGGGTGTACGTACAGCTGAGCGGCCGCACTGCTGCGGTGTACGTACTGGACCGCGGCAACCGGCGCGTGCGGAAAGTCTTTTTGTTGAAGAAAGAAAAAAGAGAAATAAAAGAAATAAAAGAAATAAAAGAAATAAAAGAAATAAAAGAAATAAAAGAAATAAAAGAAATAAATGAAATAAAAGAGACACTTGGAGACTCTTCCCCTTCGCCCTGTCCCGAAGGCACTTTCCTCAACGTCCAGGGCGCAGCCACGCCCGACGACTGCATCCCCTGCCCCGCAGGTCCTCTGCTGCTGCTGCTGCTGCTGCTGCTGCTGCTGCTGCTGCTGCTGCTGCTGCTGCTGCTGCTGCTGGAAATGCTGCTGCTGCTGCTGCTGCTGGTGTGGGTGTGGCTGCTGCTGGAAATGCTGCTGCTGCTGCTGCTGCTGCTGCTGGTGTGGGTGTGGCTGCTGCTGCTGCTGCTGGTGTGGGTTTGGCTGCTGCTGCTGCTGCTGCTGTGGGTGTGGCTGCTGCTGCTGCTGCTGCTGTGGGTGTGGCTGCTGCTGCTGCTGCTGCTGCTGCTGCTACTGCGGCTGCTGCTGCTGCTGCTGCTGCTGCTGTGGGTGTGGCTGCTGCTGGAAATGCTGCTGCTGATAATGCTGCTGATGGCAATGGTGCTGCTGCTGCAGACAAAGCTGCTGCCGGTAGTGCTGCTGCTGCTGCTGATAATGCTGCTGCTGCTGCTGCTGCTGGAACTTCTGCTGCTGCTGCTGCTGCTGCTGCTGCTGCTTCGAATTGGAGTCGTTTGGGCTCGTTTTTTTTGCTTCTTG